GATGATATCTCTCATACTTGTGCATTATCTCCCGGTTCTACTGCATCAGTACACATCGATAAATAATACTAAAAATATAATTATTGCAGTCTGACTTAGTGAAACATATTAACTACTAGTCGATGATAATATTCGCTAAATAAGAAAATTTGCTAGTCTGATCTATTAATTGTTGAGGTTAACTGAATAAATATTATTGCTACATAAAATACATATATTATATATATCACACAATAGTACACACACACACACCATGATTTATCAAGTACGTGGTACACACATGCATTATGTATGGTGTAATTTTACATTTTCAAGATCTTTTCCTTACTTTTTTACTTGACTTTTAATTCCACACACACACACACACACACTCTGTGTGTGTGCAAAAAGGCTCCCTCTACTTTTGTATATATAGAGATACTCAGAAAAGATTAACACTTTATTCACCATATATATACATATATCCAATGTGTGTATATATATATGTACAAGCATGAAAGTACACTATATTATTGACATGGGAAAGAATTTTGAAAGAGGGTGTAGGGGTATTTTTGTAATTTCACGTTCAAAAAGTTGTACCTCAAGAGATTGTACGTTCCTTTCAGAGTCGTTTGGTCTTCCATGCAACCAAGCTGCAGCTTCACCACTGCAACAAAATCAGAACCAAATATATAATTTTGACAGAATAAACCAATAAACCATGCACTATATAATATATATTATATATTATATTCTATTCTGCTACAGAAAAAAATAAATAAAAAATAAAGTGAAACCCACCCATGTGACAATTGATTACTTTTTTATAAATTAACAAAGCAAAAAGTCTCAAAATTATTCCATAGTAAATAATTCCACATCTAAAATGTCAAGCTTTGAGAGTAAGTTTTCTTAATTAGGCCCCCATTATATTCAAATAGCATCCCACGCAGTGGCGGAGCCAATATAAAGCAAACGGGGGCCGTGAATTACGATCTTTCCGAATTTAATTTTTTTAAATGATCCTCTCGAACTTAAAATTCTGGCTCCGTCACTGCTTCCCACAAGATCCGAACCAAAAGGATTTTATCATTAAGAATTCAAAGAAATCAAATAATTATCTTGGAAGATGTGCAATTTATTATTACATTAATTAATTTAATTACTTACTCCGCAGTCATATTCAATCCACTTCTTTTTATGCTGTTTCATTTAATTCGTAATTACTAGTATGGTTGAATATGTGAATTATTTGTCCCTCCCCTCATCAGCTCCTTTCAATGAATTACTATAATTAATTCATTTTAAATTATTGGAGTTTTGAATATTCAAAGTCTATAAATAAATATAGCTTTTTCTTTATTAATAATTCTTTAAATTCTACCACCAACCATAAATCTAAATTATTGTGACATGATTAATGCTGCCCCTGTTCAATGGGGTTTACCAGGTCTAGCTACCTGTCTAAGTAGTTCTTTCTAGCTAGGTTTTCACATAAAAAGTTTATATATATATATATATATATATATATATATATATATATAAAGAGTACCTACACATTTTCAAGAATGAAAAGTTAAATATTATCTTATGTATATTTTGGAAAGCATTCGTGTATGTATATATATATATATATATATATATATATATATATATATATATATATATATATATATATATATATATATATATATATATATATATATATAACCAATTTTTTCGACGTAAAACGACTTTCGAAGCCAAAATAATTAAGTAAGAATTAGTGAACCGAGCTCGAACTATGAATGTGTGAAAAATTCACTAGTCCCTAAATATATATATACGGTGTGTACGTGTTAGTGAAACTAAATGCGAGTCGAGTACCAAATACAATAGAAAATCCAATGAACTAGAGAGAAAAAACAAAGCATATCGATCGATAAAGACTACATGTATAGGGGGTGATTAAATGTCATTAACTTTATCCACTTTAACACTCGATAAAGACTACATGTATAGGGATATATATATATATATATATATATATATATATATATATATATATATATATATATATATATATATATATATATATATAATGCAATAAATATTTTGAAATGCACAAAAGAATAAAATAATTAATTAAATTTGGTACCTTGATGAATTGCTCCACATGCCATGATATTCATCTTGATCAATATTGATTTGTCTTCCCTTAATTTGATCGGATTTCTGCATGTTTTGAATGTCGAACAGGAAATCGTCCGACGTGTCGCCCGAAGACCCGTTTTCGTAAACGTCCGATTGTCCTAATTAACATAATTTCCAATATATTAGAGCTTATTAAAAGATGAGGAAATTACAAAAAATAAAAATAAAAAAAAAAATGGAAAAATATAACAAAAATAAACCTGAATTAGCTGGAGCTCTGTCAGTTGACTTCACTGTCCGATACATCTGCCAAAAAGCACAAAATCATGCATGCCAATATTAGTCACATATACATACATGCATACATATATATATATATATACATACATATATACATATAGACTCGCGCTAAAGGTAGGATATATATTAGTCAAAAGTCAAAACGTACAAAAAGAAGAAGAGTACTGAAGAAGATGCCATGTATGCATGCATAATACACATGCATGCATGTATGTATGTATGTATACATGTCTGCTTTTTGGAGGTTAAATTAATTAATTAATTAAACATGGGTTTTGAATTAATTTGGCAGAATAAGAAAAGGGTTTCTCTCTTAATTAACACAAACATGGTTTGCATATGATTGTGTAATGATAGTGTTTTTTGTACTTTTGTCTTTCTTTTCTAGCCATTTCTTCAGGAAGATAGGTCTATTATTACTTCGTTTTTTTGGCTATATTGTTTGTCTGTATCTCTCTCTCTCTCTCTCTCTCTCTCTCTCATACACACATAAATGAGACACATCTCTCCAAGAAAAAAAGCATTGGATCGTAATGTCAATTAAAATAAAAACGAGTGTAATTAATTAATTAATTACTAACAATTCTTCATGGCTTATAATTATTTTAGGTAATTGGATAAATTGAAAAATATATAATTAATTAATTAATAAAAATAATCAAAGTGAGGAAATGGTGATTTACCTGTAAATGGGATTTAACATGTGCCAAGGTGAGATCTTTCACATCCATTAGCTCAAGAACTGACTTCGGCGTAGCTCCTATACATATATATATACATATATATACAAACAGCAGAAAGTGATGATGAAATGTATGTATATATGTATATATATATATATATATATATATATATATATATATGTATGGAGGAAGGTTAATTATAATTACTTTCATGGCCGCCCAAGAGCTCGACGGCATGGACGAAACGAGCATGTAGAGTGGTGGTCCACCGCATCCGTGGGGCCCGCATACTCCGTTTCGCCGGAAACCTCGACAGCAGCCTCGACCGCATCAGCACTCCGGCGGAGGTGTTGATGTGATTTACACCTCCGCCGCCGGAGGACGCCGCCATCAACTGCGGCGGCGGAGCTTCCAGATGCTGCTGCTGCTGATGATGGTGGTGGTGGTGGTGGGCGGCGGCGGTGGCGAACGGGAAAGACGGAGGGTTTTGGTACACCGGGACCCCTCTAATCGGCCTCAAGAAACCGAGCTCTTCACCGGCGGAGAGCCCTTGCCGGAGGAAACCCGCGCCGCCGTGGAGGAGGTGGCGGTGGAAGTACTGATTTGAGGAAGAATAATAATTAGAGTTGTTGGCCGGTGGAGGAGGCTTGGCGGTGGCGGTGGCGGTGGCGGTGGAGTTTCTTGAATCGAGAGCTCTCCGCCAGAAGGCCATATCGACCACCTCATCTTGATCGGAAGTTCTTCTCCAGCCGGTGGAAGACGACGGCGGAGAGGGTTTGATACTAGTGTTGTTTGGTGGGCTGATTTGCAGAGATAGGTCTGGATGTGCTGGAAATAACTCCATCAATTAAATTAATTAATTAGTGTGCCTGTAAACTGTAAACCCTCTCTTCTGTGAATTGTGTTTGATTTTTTTTAGGGTTGTAATAAACTTGTAAAATGAATTATTGAACTGAATAATTTGTTCTTTCTTCTCCCTTTTAGATGGGGTTTGATATGATGGAAGAATTTAGAGAGAGAGAGAGAGAGAGAAGCTAGAGAGAGAAAGAGAGAGGTGGTTGAATTCTTGAAGAGATTGAGATGAGAG